CTGAACTTGAAAATGGGCTGTTTGAAATAACACAAGCAGACAAGAAAAAAGAAAAAAGTATCAAAGGCATTGAAGAAAATCTGAGAGAAATATTAGACAACCTTAAGTGCTCAAATATTTAAATAAAGAAAGAAGGAGTAGCTGACAGCCCACTGGAAGGATTTCCAAGGCTCGATAGCGCCATCTACTGTCGGAAGTCCAAGATTCGAGAGAAAATCCCTGCCAAAATGAATAAACATCCAAAAAGAAATGCAAAAAACCAAGAACATACACCACCAAAAGTCAATAATTCTCAAATTCTAGATCCTATAGAACAAGAAGCCCTTGAAATGAATGACAGGGAATTTCGAGTGTTAATTCTAAAGAGGCTGAATGAGATACAAGAAAACACAGCTAGACAGCATGATGAAACCAGGAAAAACATACAGGAGCTGAAAGAGGAAATGTACAAGGAAATCATTGTCATAAAAAAAAATGTAGCAGAACTTGCCGAACTGAAGAAGTTATTCAGCGAAATAAAAAACACATTGGAGAGTTTAACTAGCAGGATAACGGAAGTTGAAGAGAGAACCTCGGTTCTTGAAGATGGGCTCTTTGGAATAATACAAGCAGACAAGAAAAAAGTATCAAAGATATCGATGAAAATCTGAGAGAGATATTAGACAACCTTAAGCGCTCAAATATCTGAATCATGGGTATTTCAGAAGGGGAGGAAAAAAGTGATTGTATTGAAAACATATTCAGCAAAATAGTGGCAGAAAACTTCCCAGACATAAGAAAAATCACAGATCTACAGATCCAAGAAGCTCAACGATCTCCAAACGTATTCAACCCAAAAAGGGCTTCACCAAGGCATATTATAGTCAAAATGACTAAACTCAAGGACAAAGAGAGAATCTTGAAAGCTGCAAGAGAGAAGCGCCAAATCACCTATAAGGGGGCTCCAATCAGGTTAACGTCAGACTTCTCAGCACAAACCCTAAAGGCTAGAAAGGAATGGGATGATATATTCAAAATTCTAAAAGACAAAGATTGCCAGCCAAGAATACTCTACCCTGCAAGGCTGTCCTTCCGAAATGAAGGGCAAATAGTATATTTCTCAGACAAACAAAAACTGCGGGAGTTCACCACCACACGACCACCCTTTCAAGAAATTCTCAAGGAAGTACTGCGATTGATTCCTGAAAAATAACTACCACTGCTATAACAATCCAAGTAAAATAAAAACCCACTACTATAATAAAAATGACAATCATGAAAAGAAAACAAATGAACAAAATCACTAGCGGCAACCTCAGGAACCAACAAACACAGAAAACAAACAGCAAAGCAGAAAGCAAGGAACAAAAGACACCTAAGACAACCAAACAACCAATAAAATGATAGGAATAAATCAACACCTTCAATAACAACTCTTAATGTAAGAGGTTTAAGTTCCCCAATCAAAAGACACAGATTGGCTGACAGGATTAGAAAGGAGGACCCAACTATATTCTGCCTACAAAAGACCCACCTCACCCATAAAGACACACNCCTATACAACTGCAAGTCACTACTAAAGATAAGCTTTTGAAGCCAGGATATGGCAAGAATGTAAACATTCTCTTACCAGCCCCAACCTGTTTGCAACAGGGACAGACGGTACAATGGGAATGGCCTTGGAGAATAGAAGCCCCCCATATATGCTACGTTGGCTTAGGGCCTTGGGGGAAAGGATTAGAAGAAAACTTGCAAGTTTCACGTTGGGCGACAAGTATCTGGCCTCCTTGGGTAAAGGTAACATGGCCTGGAACAGATAACAGCTCTTTTCCAAAGGGCACATTTGCATTATCATTATGGCCAATTATGAGTTCCCCTATACTGTTACATGTAGAACCTACAGATCCAACCATGTTACTGGATAAAGCATGGTATCATAAACCAGGTAAGATACCTATCCCTGCAACCATCCTTTCTCAGGATGGCAAATTGGCATGTATCTTACCAGAGGGGCAAGGACTTCCCCTATTGGTACCAATAACCCTTCTGTCTTTTCACCCATAGCATTCTGGCTGCAGGCACCGCACCAGAGTTGACTGGGCACCTACATATGTTCGTGTGATCAATGTGTCAGCTTACTGAATATACATTGAACTTCTCATCAGTATGACTACGAGATTCCCATGGAAAATCACACCAATGATGACTACTAATCGGACATGCGTGGCTAATAGTTGAAAGGACAGAACTACAAGACAAGCCTTAAGGCATATTGAACAGAAAATAGGTTATATGAATGTAAGGGTCATATATCTTTGCTAAGGGAACACCGTGGTAGATTCTGAACATGTCGATTGTATGGCAAGAGACCCTGAAGGGGTGGATTGTGAGGAAAATAGAGTAGTTTAGTCAGGCCCTCTCACCTCAGGTCCAGTTGGGGGTGGTGCAGCATATTCTTTGCAAACAAGTTGTGTGGGGGTGGAGTTAGTGCCCATGCCTGCCCATGTATTTTTAGCTTGTTGCTATTCTTGTGTGTTTCTTCAGTGTGTGTGAAGCAGCAGCTCTAACTGCTGGTGGGTAGAGCTCGCATCTAGAAATAAAGCCTATTATTTCTTCACCCACGGCTTCAAGGACCTTTTTCTGCTACCTAGCTTGTAGGCCTGTGTGTGAAGGGTTTGTGAATGGGTTCGAGGGGTCTGTGAGCTCCAGACCCAGCTCTAGCCATACAGTGATGATATATTGATTTCACTGCCTTTGTGTATACATCCAGTAGTGGGATGGCTGAGTCCTACCGTAGATCTATTTTTAGTTATCTGAGAAACCTCCATTCTGTTCTCCACAGTGGCTGAACCAATTTACGCTCCGACCGGCAATGTAGGTGTCCATCAGCCAGGACACCAGTAACAGACCCATTAGGGGGATCTTTTAGGGGGAGATAGCTTTAGGGAGAGACAGCTGTGAGCATCTAGTGACAGGACCACACGATTTTGCTCCTTTATTCTGCACATGAGATGGATGACACTAAGTTTGCCATGTTGCATCACCTCGTATTCCTGCGATGAACTCACACTCACAGCAGGTGCCACCTGACTGCAAGGCTTGCGCTGTTCCCCCAGGTGCAAAGGACCTCGGCGACAGCGGGGAGGGGGCAGCGCCCCCGCGCAAGCGCGGTCCGGTGGGGCCGCCGCTGAGACTCCGCATCAAAGCTCCGGTAACAACCACAGGAATTCGAAGGACTTCACCCAAGACGAGTGCGTCCGAGGCCGGGCATTCGCGCCCTGGCTCTGGCCACCACCTGCAGGCCATGGTCGGCTGCCGGCCGAGGCCTCCCAGAGAAGAGAATTGAACGGAGAGCTCGGGAAGGGGGTCAAGGACAGGAGCCAGGTGAGAAAGAAAAACCTGGTGACCTACGGGGAAAGAACAGTCCTCCCCTTCCCTCCCCCCCGCAACACGCGATTCCCCAATATTTTGGGGGGTTTTGTTTGGTTTTTTTTGACTGCTTAATTAACTAACTTATTTTTCAAATTTTATTTTAAAAATATGGAAAGCTTATTAATATGACACGAATTTGCGTGTCATCCTTGCGCAGGGGCCACGCTAATCTTCTGTGTCGTTACAATTTTTTTAGTGTATGTGCTGCCCAAGCGAGCACCCCCAATGTTTAATGTAACAAGAGAGCCTGATTTTCCTGTACACGGTTTAAAAATAGTATTTTTCTGATTGTGCAAGAAAACGTTGTAAGAAATTTTTTAAAATGTATCAAAAAATTATATAAAAATCCCCTGTGTCTTTTAGTGCCATTTCACAACAGTCGTGGAAGCAGGGTCCTGGTGCCATCAGATACAGATATGGCTCCACAGAGGCCACTGCACAGATAGCTGCAGTGAAGTAACTCGGCGGGCCCTGAGGAGCCTCAGCGCAGGGTGCAGCTGTCTACTTCCACTTACTGTGTCATAGGGTCTGGAACAGATGGGGCCACTTTGATGTCATCGTCACTGTTGACTGCTGATATGGTCGGAGGAAAAGGGAAGACCAGCAAGCTGATGCCTGGAGGTTAGACCTTATTCCACTTACATCCACCCCACTCGCTTCCCCACCAAACCAGACCCTCTGCAAGGCCCTATGAAGCTCCCTCTGCAGCAGAAGCATCTGGTAAACTGACCGTGCCCCACCCTGGAGTCCTCATTCCAAGTCCCCTTGTCCCAGTTCTTTAAAAAGTACCCAGAGTACTGTGCAGAGGATGGAGGATAAGGAACAAAACCAGCAAGGCCTGGACCTTCTTTCCCCTCCTCACCCACCCAATCTCCACGCTTCCTCATGCTCTCCAGTCCCACCCTGTCGCCATGGCTTGGACACAAAGGGAAAGTGCACCATCCCCAGGAATAGAAACGGGAGCTGTGTAAGTGAGAGGGGCCGGCGCCCTCACACTGCAAATGCGCCAGCCCAGCAGCACAGTCACTCTCCCCCACCCCCGGGAAGACAGCACAGCTCCTCTGCTGGAACCTGCCTCTCCCACCTGTTCCCGTGCTGCTGAATGACAAGCCACAGAAACTTAGCCATCTTTGTCTGGGATACTTGCAGTGAAATAGAAAATCACCTGGTACTCACTCATCAAGCTGTCCTAAACTACATTACTGGGAACGAATGGGTCCCCAAGCACTCCCTCTCGCCTCCCTGCAGGCTTCTGGAGAGCTGGAGAAAGTTCTGGAATCCAGCTCCCCGCACCTCCCCATACCTCTCCACTCTTTTCTCCCTAGAAGTAGGACAAGAGATGTCAATGCCACTGAAGGGAGAAGAGAGAGACGCACCACTGACCTTCTAGCACCCAGGAAGAGACGCACAGCAGGCCATGACAGTGAAGCAGCAGGGTCCCCCACAGCTGTGAGGAGCTGGGTCCCAAGCAGGGATGAACTGAGCAGCCAGCGCTGCCCCTGCCACCGTGACCAGACCCACAAGTGCAGCAGGTGCAGAGCCTAGAAAGCCAGCTCCCAGGGAATACATAAACACACAGACTTTGGATGTGGAATTTCACACTCGGCTCTTTATTTCTGAACTGTCACCACTACATAGGTAAGGTCACTTGGGCTGCAGGCACATGTGGAGTGTCAGGAACAGTGGGGTGGCAGGAGGAAGGAGGAGGTGGCCCACAGCGACCTCCAGCCGCTCATGGAGAGGACAGCCGGCCGCAGAACAGGATGCCGCTGGTTGTGCTGTGCTGGATGAAGAACAGGAAGGGGTGGTCGGCGCAGAACCTGGGGGTGACTCGGAGGCACCGCATCAACATGATGCCTGCGGTGGCGGCCGCCGCCTCAGTGCCCTCCTCGTTGACCTCCACAAAGGACTTGTGCACGACCTTGGACAGGTGCAGGTCTCTCCTGGACGACATCCCGGAGAAGTCGGCCCTGGTTGGCTCGAAGGCGTCGGTCATGCCCAGGCGGCGCAGCACAGCCTCCAAGTCGTAGTTTTCCTCCAGTTTAAACCTCGGCAGGAAAACTTCCACCTCTTCTTCGTCCATCATGTCTGGCCTCGTCCACTCGACGAATTTCTCATAAGTCAGTTCTTTTTCCACCTAGAAGAAGAGCTGGAGTATTTCAGACCTTGCCCTGCTGTCCGAGGGGGACAAGGGCTGTGATGTGAACATCACACTGGACAGCACAGCCAGGCCGCAGCCGGAAGTGGCGCCGACCCAGCTGGCTGGGACCTGGGGAAACCCGAGGCCATTCCCTCGCCACCATCACTCAGCTGCTTACCGTCCTCAGGTCGGTGTTCTCGTCTGGAAGCAGGATGATCATATTCAGCTCTTTGCTCACATAGGGAAGCACCAGAATTTGGGTGAATATTTCTCCTATATAGGTCATTTTAAAAGTAGATTTCTTAAACATCATTTGCACAGGTTTCTCCTCATTCTGTAAAGGAAACGGGCGACCATGAAGTTGAAACAAGGCCCAGCTGGCACACTGGACACTCTCAGCCCTAGAAGCACGTTCTTCCTTTGGCTTCCAGAACTTGCCATCAGAAGAAGCTCTGCCAGATCAACTGCATGACCTCGGCCTCCAAACACTGGGGGCAACAGGCTTAGACCCAACAGCTACTTTCTTATGGCCATCTCAGTCGGTCTCATGACATTGAACATAATTCCCAAATTTACATTCCAGCCTGCAGCCTCCCTGCACTTGGACATAAAAGAACCCCAATGTCACATGTAACCCTGGGCTCCTGCGTCCTTCCACATCTGCTCCATCTACGTTGCCCACCTCCGTTGATGGCAACACCATCTGTCCTTGCAATGACAGAAGCCTTGGCATGTCCTTGACTTATGTCTTTCTCATGCCTCCTGCATCGCACCCAAGAGCAAACTGCACTGGCTCTCCCTGTGAAATATACCCTAAATCTGACCTGTTCTTTCTACCTCCCCTGCCATCAGCCTCTCCTGCTCAAGCACAGTCACAGCAGCCACCTCCCCAGTTCCATGGGCAAACCAAGGTCACTCCCTCTCTGCATGCTGAGCTCATCCCCAGACTCTGGCAGGTGTCCCCTGGGCCTCCTCCTGCTCTTTGCTCCAATACCACTTCCCAACAAAGGCTTCCTTGATGGCTCTCACCTGAAACTGCACCCACCCAACACCACCGCCTACCCTTCCTCTGCAGTCTCTGCTTCACAGCTCCTGTCTTCTTATCTATGCTGCTGCCTCTCGCCAGGCACCCACATGTCACCAGGACAGCACATGGTAGGCACTCAGCCCACATGTGCCAAGTGACAAGGACTACTGAGGCAGACAAAATTTACATGTTTTTGTAGAAAGAGAGTGCACCTATCACCAGTATGTCCACAGCCACAAGTGAGAGAGATCCAAGGACAGTGACCATGTCCTGTCCAACAGTCTACTCAGTTTTGGGCCCCTCTGCAATTTAATGCTGGCAGCTGCTGTGATTTTACACAACGCCATGCAACAGGCAACCAAAAAAGAGAAAAATAATAAACTGGATTCAGTGAGAGAAAGACACTGGAACATCAGGAAACAACATCATCCAAGCAGGAGGCGGCTAAACTAGGTGTCTAATTTACATCCTGTGTAACGTGCCCTTTCATTTGCTTGTTTTTAAACCAAAATCTGTGCTTGCTTGTCCTTCCTATGAAGCAGGACTGAAGGCCAGTCCTTCGTTCAGTATTTACTGAGCACCGACTGTGTGCCGGGCACTCGTAAGGTGAGGTCTGCACTCCCCTGGCATTCAGCAAAGGGAGGAAAGTCCTTCTACCACTGCAGGGACTCATGGGGACTGGCAGGGGCGCAGTGACAGGACCCAGAGGAGGACAGTCAGGGAAGGCGTCCCAAGGGACACAGCTGGAAACAAAGGAGGGTGCAGGTACGGAGGGAAATGGGGAAAAATGGGCAGGATCAAGGTCTACCGACAGCCTCATATGACATATTTTGGAGTCTGAACTTTATCTCAAGTTCTGAGATGCCAGGAAGGACCTAAGTGACGCCTGAGAGCTCCGCCGTCAGGTTTTCTGTGCACACAGAACATGCCGGCAACAGTCTGGCAGGTGACTGTGTAGGGAGCCCAACCAGAAGCCGAGGGCACATGGCCACCTTTGATGACATACAAAAGCAGGAGCAGGGCCTAAAAGGCCCCAAGGCTTGGTGGGGAGTCTTGGCTAGGGGGCTGCCCAGGGCCACACAGGACACAAGTTACTTGAGTGGCCTTCTCATGCATTCTAGAAACAACGTGAACACAGGGGCTGTCTCGGAGAACCTCCTGTGTGTTCCAGTGTTCACCTTGCTGACTTTAAAGGGTCTCTCCTTGGTCTGCTCCTTGTTAAACTGCTTATCCCAGTTTCCTTTGAAGTAGATGGCGTTCACGAGAATGAGATTCGTCAGTGAATTAACGGTATCTGGAGACAGCAACTCTGTAATTTTACCTGAAAAGAAGAATTAAAGAACCAGTGAGCTTAAAAGAGTATGTGGCTGCATGACATGTCAGGAACAATGCTCAGGTGGGCCATCTCCTTGAGCGCTCAAGGGGGCAGATAAGGGATTTCACTGTCCCCCAAGTATAAAGGAATATTTGTCCTTAAAACAAAGCAACAAAAAGAGTTCTGGTAAGAAAAATCCCGTCATTTGAACAAAATGTGTAAAGTAAACAGTAGATATTACCATGCTCAGGATGAATTCATAGCACACGAGACATAAAAGCCATCTCCTTGAGCGCTCAAGGGGGCAGATAAGGGATTTCACTGTCCCCCAAGTATAAAGGGATATTTGTCCTTAAAACAAAGCAACAAAAAGAGTTCTGGTAAGAAAAATCCTGTCATTTGAACAAAATGTGTAAAGTAAACAGTAGATATTACCATGCTCAGGATGAATTCATAGCACACGAGACATAAAGGAATGACAGGTGCCTGTGACTTAAAGAGAGGAACTGAAAGGGCTGTCAAAAAGAAGAGCAGTATGAGATGTTCTTTGTACATGTAAGAACAGTTTAAATTAAGCACCACAGAGGGACAAGGGCTTAGCCAAGTGTCCTGCAGCAAAGCACGAGCGTGGCAGGGCATGAGCCACACCTGACAGGGAGGCAGGCCACAACTCAAAATGCCACATTTTCCTTACGCTATCAGTGAAAGGAAAACCTAACCTTAACCCCCCTCTCGAAAACATTAAAGTATGGATTGTTCCAGAAGAGGTGCACCAAATGCCGAGAGACATCACAGATACATTGATGAGAGCAGAGAAAAGCTAGAGAAAGTACCTACATTTGACATTTTCAAAATGTCACATATTGACAAAAGCAGATCTTTAAAGTGTTTAGTTATTTAGAGGAAAAAAGTCATTTCTGTTTGCATTTGACAGTCTTATGAAAAAACCAACGATAAGACTTAAGTCAAATACTATTAAAAATAACAACATATTGTCACCTTCTGTCTTTTTGGCTACCCAGGTGTTTATGTGCTTTCTGGACTCCCCTGCAGCATTCATAAAGTCAAGCTCTTCCATCTCTGCTTGGTAGAATTTGCGGCAGGAATCTTTAAAAGACTAGGATAGACGGAGCAACATAATTACAAGGCTACGAAAATAATTAACACCTAAAGCTTACCTCTTCATTGCAGCAAAGCAGAAATCAATAATTTCATGATTATAAAAGCAAATTCAAGGGTTTGGATCCCAGTACTGGTCACCCCAAAAAGATTTATAATAATTTTAGGATTTACAGATGTCATTACAAATATAAGGAATTAAAGTCCAACTTCTCATTTTTTAGCTATATTTAACCTTAGTTTATAAACTGTGTAAACAGTGGTGGTGGTCTGAATACCAAACAAATTTCACAAGCTGCTGGATCCTTTAGGGGAGTAGCTGAGTGAGGTGGCTTTAGTGAGGTGGCTGAGAGGACGCTGAGATGCAAAGAGCGCATCCCTCCTGACCCCCCACTGCAGGTGCTGGGTGAGGGCTGACCCAGCGACAGCTCCAGCCCACTCTGCAATGCAAGCCACAGGCCGTGACCAATCTCTGCCGTTCCATAGAACGTGGAAAATGCGTAATTCTGCACCAGCACTGCCACCACAACTGATAGTGGTGATGGAAGTGTTCCAAATCGGCACTGTCCAAAGGATGCCGCATGTGGTTATTGAGCACCTGCTGAGGTAAATGAGCACCTAGCGCAGCTGAGGAAATGAATACTTGGTTTTATTTAATTTTAATGAATTACACTGGAATTTAAATAGCTTCATGTATTCAGTGGCTACCATGCTGGATGGCTCAGTTTCAGACTGAGCAACTCAAAAAAAGTTCAAACTATATTCAGCTAATATATTCTATGAAAGGACAATGATTGATGAACAACTACATGACGTGATACAGAAGAAAATGTGGTGGAAAATGAACGGGCTGACATGACTAATTATGCTGACAGTGCACTATGGAACAATTTCCCAATTGTTCCTTCCAACAGCTTATGGCTACATATTTAACTTCCCTTTTGAGAACTGATTTTATGTTGCAGGATTTCACATTTCTCCTCAGATAGCAGCAGACAGGCAATGCGACACAGTGGTCGTGAGCATGAGGTTTGCAGCCTGGTAGCTGGGGGGCCTGGGAAAAGTCGATTGGTCTCTGGACCCTCCTTGCCCACCCTGCACATGAGGACACGTGGCACCACACTCTCCCTCCTCCCACCTCCTCGCTGGCTTCACTGCCTTAGTGGAAAACAGCAAGCGTGACTTACTGAGAGGAAATCACAAGACTTTTCCCCAAAGAGCCTGTTGGCTGTCCTAAGCAGATACTTCGTGCCAGTCCTGTTCACTTCGGCGAGAAGCAACTGGAAGCCCTTGTGGATGTCCCCAGTGCCACTGTTTCCACTTTTACTTAAGGAAAGTGCCTGAAATCAGAAGCAGAATAAGAACAAACAACTTCAGGATGCCGTGCCTTCAGGAACTGGGTACAACACTGAAGCGAGCCTAACAACTGTGCACACTCTTACTATCACCTAACAGAAGATCCAGCCATTAAAGACGAAGAGCGTCTCGAAAGCCTCCTCCAGCCTTTCTCCCTGGACCCTGTCAGGACTGGTATGACCAGAAGTGACTTCCACACCCCCCAGTTCCCCATGCTCACGACCAGCTCGGCTACAAGTGAAGCTGCCAGCCAGACCCTCCATCTCTGCCATCGAGGCTGCTCCTGACACTGAAGGTGCCCTCCCCCCGACCTTGGGGATGGGCTGGCCCTGACGCTGGCTCTGCCCAACAGTACTTGGCAGAAGTGATGCAGTCCAGGCCTGAGCCCTAAGAGGCCTGGCAGCCCCATATTCGCTCCCTTGTCCCCAGCCACTATGGTGGAAGCAAGTCCAAGCTATCCTGTCACGGGGGGAGAGTTGCTTGGAACGGCGCCATGGCCCCAGACGTCAGAAGGACCTTCTTGCACCTTCCAGCTGAGCTGCCTGCTGAAACAGCCACAAGGGTGACCCGGCTGGCACCCTGGGAAGAAGAACTCCCCGGTCAGGCCAGAGAATTAGAGAAACAAATGATCACTGCTGCTTCCAGATGCTAAGTTTGGGACGATTTCTTCTGCAGCAATAGATAGTAGCAACCTAGAAGTGGATTCTGCTGTAACAAAAGTCTAAATCTTGTGGCCTGGCTCTGGACCCTAGCACCTGGAGAAGCTGGAAGGACATGAAGAAATTTCTACCAGGGGCTACAGAAAGGGGACTATGGTGTGTACTGGCAGAGAAGTGGATGGAGAGATGGTCCCCTGTAGTGACAGGGAAGACAGGACATTTCCCCTGAACTCATGCATCTGGCTAAGTTAGCCAGGAAGAATGTGGCTTCTATCAGCTGCATGGGATAAAGGATGGGAAGAGAAAGTTGAGCTAAAGAAGGGATTTTTCCATTTTCAAGCAGAATTTAAAAGAACTACTTCCACCCAGGACTTGGAAAATAAAAATGTTTCATTCCCAACCTCTCCAGCTGGCAAATGATTCTAAAAGTAAGAAATGGCCTCAGGGCGAAGATCAAATCCAAGGCGCTGACCTCAGGAGTGAGGGCAAGACCCACTTTGCTGAAACCTCAGAAGATTAGGGTAGGGCCCCGCAGATGATCTCCAGTGCACTAAGGGGCTTCTAAGCATCTCAGGGCCCCCACAGCACCCTGACTCCCAGCCCAACACAGAGTGCCAGCTCTAACAGGTCTGTGCATGGAGCTCTGTCCAGTGAAGCGAGTTTGACTAGATACCTAGAAATCCCACAGTGGTTTTCAAGGAGCTGTGAGAGCTTGGGCTAAGAGGGAGAGACAGTCCGAGTGAGGGGCACCTTCGGGCCCCCACTTTCCATGGGCAGGAGGCAGGCTGCCGGAGCAGTCGGCGGCCGATTCTTACAGAAAAGGAAAGGAGCTGCGCAGAGCTCATCCAGGAATGCAGACGGAGAGCCTCACCCAGGGCAGCGGTGGGTGAGGGCCGAGTGAGGGGCACCTTCGGGCCCCCACTTTCCATGGGCAGGAGGCAGGCTGCCGGAGCAGACGGCGGCCGATTCTTACAGAAAAGGAAAGGAGCTGCACAGAGCTCATCCAGGAATGCAGACGGAGAGCCTCACCCAGGGCAGCGGTGGGTGAGGAATGCCCCCAGGAGTCCTATCAAGGAACATTCCCTGCCCTGGGAGCAGAGACGGCACTGCGCACCTGGCTGTGTGGAGGGACTGCAAAGGCCCAACGGCTGCAATGAGCCCCCCACGCCTCCTGCAATGACCTGCGTGTGTCCCCCCAGATTCACGTGCTGAAGTCCCAGCCTGCAGGGCCTAGGATGGACTGACTTGGAGGTGGGCCTAACCCATATGACTGGCATCCTTCCGAGAAGAGGAGATGAGCAGCAGCTCCATAACATCTGACAGCGTCCCCCGGCCCTGACACGTCGTGGGCAGGTACCTGGGCCATCTGGGCCGCAGTGTTTCCCTTTGCCCCCAGGAGGACCATGGCCAGCGCAGACGCGATGCTTATGGGCGAGAAGAACACATTTTTCGAGCTGTCCTCACCAAGCATCTTCAGGACGTTCAGGGCAAAGGTGCCGTTTGTCTCCGACAGAGGGTCCATGCTGGCAAGCCTGGAACGAAGATGCAGTCAGTGTTGCATGAGCACGGTGTCCACTCTGTAGGGAGTGAGCACACAGTGACACCCACCAAACTCTGAGGGCCCCATGGGGCACCCCCAAACCGTTCTGTTGTTTTTCTAACGCTAAGTGAAAAGAACGGAGCAGCTGAATTTATAAAACCATCCCATTTGGTGGGGACTTCCATCTGCACACCCGCGGGGCTCTGCGGCGGTCACCTCCCTGGGTTGGGGTTAGGGAAGTGTGCTGGGCCCTGCACTCCCAGGGCACCCTCCGCACACCCTCACCTGACCAGCAGTGGCTGTGTGCCCTTCTCCACCTCCAGGCACAGGCTCAGGGGTCAGGGGCCTCCATCGCCCCTGCCATGTGGGGCACTTGGCAAGACCCCTGCAGCCTTGCAGGGTCCAGAGCAGGGACACAGCAGGTGTTCAGGCTGCTGGAATCCCAGAGTCACAAAACTAAAAGCACAACAGGATGCTAGAGATACCCACCATCAACTTCCCATTTTACCATGGGGAATGTGACCTTCCCAGAAGTGAAGTGATAGAGCCCAGCTAAGGAGAGGATGGGCTCACTCAGTATCTAATCATATAAGTATATAACTAATAAACTTGATAAAATCTTGTTTACTGTCCTTGTTTAAAGATTTGTTTTCAAATTTGTCTTTTTTTATACTTGGGATGCTGGGCACTCCTTGTTTGCTGAGATCTTCCATACATATCCTAAGATCACCAATTTTTAATGGAAGTATGATAGAACGCACACGTTACTAGAATTCTTCAACATATAAGGGATTCTTTGAACGTACAGAAGTAACTCCAGGATTTGGTAGAGCCTTGGGAACATCACTATAAACAAAAGTAGCCATTACCTGAAACTGAAACAAAATTGTACCTATTCCTGGTTCTCTGGGTTCTAGATCAGCAAGAGCTGCTTCTTATCCATTTTAAGAGAAACGATTGCTAAAACAGGGAAACCTGTAGACTAAGAATTAAGAACTAAGAGGAGCTGCCCCAAAGCAAGAAGCCCAGTCTGTGTGTCAGGATGCTAACAAGTGCCCGCAAGTGCCCACCACATGGGGTCTTAACAGGCCTGGGGACAGGAAAACCTCTGACTTTGGCCCATGATGGCTCAGCCCACACAGAGAGGCTGTGGACCAAAAAGATTTTGCCATCAGCACACATTTTCCCCTCAAATATTGGAGGGCTCTAATCCAATTGGAAACGCCATCCTAAGAAAGGCCATTAATAAGGCACTCTGACTCTGTGCCCCTAAGAATGTGTTTGGGGCACTGACCTCAACAAAGCAAAGCTCTCCCACCTGAACACACACCTGCTAGCCAGCCCATGATACATCATCTGGGGCAGAGAAGAAATCAGTGCACATCGGTTTCATTGGGTCAAGGGGATTTAACACTGAAAGACAAATACGTCTTCAATATAAAGCTGCTTCAGTTTTCTTCTTTTCTTTAGACCGGGAAAAACAAACCAGGACATTGAGCAGAAAAGGCATTACTCACGAAGGAGACCAGGTTTGTAGTCCCAGCTCTGGCACCCTAAGCAAATAATCTGCGTCCCCTTCCATCTCTAACATTCAATATTTGTTACCATCAAATGCGGAAGAGCAAAAATTCAGCTCATTTTCAAAGCCCACAGTGAGGTCAGTAATAACACTCCATTTCTCAGCTGAAAATCACTACAGATAGCCAAGAAAGGTAAAATTATATCCACGTCCTATATAAAAATTGCTAAATAAAAAAGAAACAATAAATCAACAATGCCCTAGAAGTTTATCCAAAATATGCAGGATAATCTTGTAGCGGAAAATACGTTAATAGTGAAATAACTGTATAGCCCACTACTGATAAGTGCCCTTAAATCAAATAGGAAATAACTCCTATACTTCCTTAACAAAACAAGAATTATCTACTTCAGCAGCCGTCATCACAGTTGATGACATAAAATCAGAGGAGCCCTTTTGTTCCCCCCACAGGAAAAGATAAGGATATCTGTCAACCCATGTTGTATAGCTTTGTTCTGATAGTTCTGCCAAGGCAAATACAACTCATGAAACACAATGAGAAGGAAAATCATCAGGAAGGAGACAAAATAAGCATGGTTAGCAAACAATTTGATGATCTACCTGCAAAGCAGCCCGAATCAATTAAATACACATAAACCTTTGGTTAAATAAATTTGTTATGCTTTTCTGTCATTAACCTGTCCTTTGTTACAAGAGTGTCAGTCATGACCCTTGTGCCAGGTGAGGAAAGGGATCATGTCTTTCCACCCGCCCATACAATGACATTTTAATATGTCAGGGTTTTTTATGCTTTACGCAGCTTTTAAAGCAAACTTTCGAATTTGATACAAACCTTAGTAAACATTTGAACTTTCATAATATTAATAAATCAAGATTTACAAATCTAGTAAGCTAGCCTCTCCTAAGATTTGTATAAATATGTTAAAAAATACACAGAATGGCTCTCCTGAGCTGGGGCAGTGGGGGGCTGAGGACCTCAGCCACATCTCCCCGACACCTATACCAGCCCAGCAATGACCACCGAGCAGCTGCAGGAAGCACCTCAGGCTCCCGAGCTGGGGTGATGGGGTGTAAGGGCTTCAGCCACACACCCCTAACATCTGCACCCAGCCCAGCAATGACCAAGTCACCGCTGGAAGCCCCTTGGTCTCCCTTGCAGGAATGAGGGTTGTCACAGGCCTCAACCCCACCCTCCTTCTTCTCCCACCCTATTTCCTTCCTCTTTCCCCTCTCCCCCTTCCCCCCAACTGCTCTGCACCAACATCATAAAATGTAAAAAAATATATTAATAAACTTAAAAATATACACAAAATGGTACGATAACAAAACTTTTCTACACCTGTACTTAAGTCTAGCAAAAGGTATTATTTAATATCATGGGTTAAAATTATTTGATCTTTGTTCTATCTTGTGATATTTCCTAAGGTAATAATAACGCTTATTTTAATGGTTTCCTGGGGTTAATCTTAAGCGACCATCCTCTCCCCACAAAAACAAGAGGATTGGACTTCCTGCTTCGTAGCAATGTACCATCCTGGCTGCTTATCGAAACATTGGACTAGCTACAGGATCTCTGAGCTTCAATCCCACAGTCACAGGGACTTTACAAGGCCTTGACCAAACACCAAATTTCAGTTCCTTGTAGCCTGGCATCTTTCCTTAAAGTGAAGTATTATGTCAATTTTCCTCTGAATCCCATAGCCAAGAGCTCAACCATATAACTTGGATCTAAATCTTTTAATTTCATTTTTAAGCCTTTGCACCTGTTTATTAACTACCGCACTTGTTAGCTTGGGGATCTGTAATACTAGATTTTCATGCAGCAATCCTAGTTGAGATGCAAACAGGACTGAAAATTCTTCTGCACCTTTTAAAACGTCATCTTATTTGCCTCATCTGAACTTATTAATGGACTCAGGGCTTTTTATAAACAATACATTTCAATTAACTGATTTTTTTGTTCTTGGTGCTCACAGTGTCTTAACTTGATTACTCAGAATCTCTTTAAGTTAGTTTTTTGATCTCAAGATGTTGATCTCAAACATCCTTGCTTTACGGCAACAACGAAGTCTTACAGGCCCATTTTTAATTTTCCAGTCCACAGACATGGTATCAGCCCTCTTCTGGTTTCTTTCAGAGGATAACAGCTGTAAAGCACAAAATCTGAATACCCGGAGCAGATGAGTTTTGGTGCTGATGGAAAATCCTGCTGCTGCGGTTGGACATACCAGGGACAGGCTAGGATAGATATTGCCATTTAGGTCCCTCATCGATGCATCATGCTGTAAATCAGATTGCCATGGAAAGTCCTGATGCCCATGCCTCTTCCAGAGCATAACCGCACCTGAAGGCTTTCACCCGGGCTGCAGCTGCACCACGTCCTCCTTTGTTACATGCAGATGCTGCGTCAGCCCATGCTGAGCAGCCACATTCTCAACACGATCCATTCGGACCCGTTGCTCTTCAGTGTGCTGCACAGCTGCCTCCTTCGACACGGCTCTTTGCCTGCAATGTCCCTTATTTTGGACCTGATGTCTTCCTGCTGTATGGTTTGCCCACTTATTTTGATGGAGCAAACTGCTCCAAAGACTGAATACAATCTTTTGATCTCTTGCATGTCTGAAAATCTTTATTCCACCACTCCTCATGACTGATAGCCTGGCAGGGTGCCCACCACTTTACCTTCACATCTCTGAGGCACTGCTTCACTGCTCTCCAGCCTCCAGCTTTGCTGCTGAGGAGTCTGATGACATTATAATGACCCGAGTTCCATCTACTGTGCCCCACCCCCACTCTTTGGAAGCCTATGAAATCTTACCCTATTCCCTGACGTTTGGAAATGTCACTATGATGCGTCCATCTATGGGCCCATTTCATTCATTTTGTTGGGCACTTGGTGGGCTCTTTCAACCAGGCAATTCAAGAACATTTCCTTTCCACCCTGGGAAAAATGCTTAAGGCAGTTGCTCATTTGCTTCAGACTGACTCTCTGTTCTCTTTTTCTGTACCTCCTACTAGTCAAAGACAAAATTCTTGGACTGACCTCATCTAGGACTTCCTAACCATCTCCACATTGTGGCATGCACAGAAAATGGTATCTGTATGGCACTTTGGGGCGAGACTACTTGCTGCAGAGGTGACCAGCCAAACGCTTCGGGTACCCAATCCCCCTGTCCCAGGTGCCCCGAGTTGCATGTGTAATACCTTACACATCATTATCCCACCCAAGGCACAACACCCCGGCCCACAGGCTAGAGAGCTCTCTCTGACCCTCTTCATTCTCTAGCATTTTCCATCACAACAATATTTTGTTCCATTTTCTGGAAGACATTCATGACTATATCTTTCAATCTTCCTATTGATTTTTTTTTTGTTAATTTCAGCTGTTATATTTTCAATTTCTGGGGCTCTTTTCTTTCTGCTGTCCCTTCTTTGCAGCCTTCCATTCTAATTCCTCAGAGAACATCCATCTTAGTTTTATTGAGTTCTCTTCTTCTCTGTTGTTGTGGTTGGTGTTTATTTTATTCAGGTCTCTCTCTCTCTTCATATGTAGGCATTCTAAAATGCCTGATGACCCTTGGATGTCAGTTCATTTTTAAGAGGAAAACACATAACAATGTTGGAAATTCAGTTTATATGGGCAGGACAAGTCAGCTAGGGGCTTCATTGTGGTGTGACCAAGGGGTCAGCAGGTTTTTTGTTGAGGAACCAGCAAATGGAGGAACTCTCTGGAATGGCTGCTCATGGTGTTCTGGAAGCAGGTTGATGGGGGTGGGGGGGGGGCGAGGGTAAGGTTTCCACTGGCTCTGTATTCCCATTTCAGCCCACTGCATCCCCCACAGTGCCTGGCAGTCCCTGAATTCCAGCATTTTCATTATCACTTTGTAATAATATATAAATCCTTAACTATCAATCTTTATAAAAAAGATTAAAGCGATCCTGATGCTAAAAAGAAAAATAAACCCAAATTTAAAGTTTACCACCAAGATATTCCAATTATCAAAGAAATTTATAAACAAGCTAGTAAGATTTTTATATTGTGGCTTTTCTCTTATCCATTCAGTGAATGTACCATTAACAAGGATGTATATTCCACAGGTCACAATTGTAAACTCAACACCTATCAATGGCTTTCCACATACCTACTTCTTTAACTGCTGTAAATAGTTAAGCCAAGAGTCCTACACACACACACACACACACACTCTCTCTCTCTCTCTCTCTCAGGGTACTTCAAAAAGTTCACAGAAAAATAGAATTAACAGGTAATACAAATCTTTTTATGAACTTTTCGAGTCCTCCATATGTATATATACACATATACGTGCAAAACTTGTTATATATTTAAAAATTATGTACTGCTTTACAAACAGTATTATTTTTAAAAAATAAAAATGATTTATTTAATCACAGACATAAAAACTGGATGTTAACGTTTTATTACTGAGCAGTTTCATATATTTTTAAAATAAGTCTAACAAAACTATCCTAGCATCAGTTTCCCCTGCAGTAACTTTCACCAGTAACTTTCAGCAGTTAATGTTCCTAATCCATATTATTCAAGTGATCAAGTCTTCATAATTCTTTAAGGTGTCGATATTTAATTGTGCTTCTTATCTTCCTCGATTAAGGATGCCTAATTTCTTAGAAAATTTAGCCACTTAAAGACTGGCTTAATGGAAACTGGACTCCTGCTTTGTCCCTCTATTTTCTTATGTAATGTGTGTGCGTTTAGCTTCTCTGAGCAGCAGCTGTCTGACATGCAAACGGGGGATCAGACATTATTTTCTTTCTTAGCCTAATCCCAGGTCCAGCAAGCTTGGAAATGTAAGCTGTGTGGTCTTCCATGGGACCTTACAATGCCCATTTGGGTGTCCTTATTACCAGATACACAGAAAAGAAGATTGGTCTGTTCATTCTAATTTCACTCCATTGTTTCTGGTCTGAGTTAACTGTAACACACTGAACTGCAGTAAAATGCCTAGGATTGGAACTGGCCTTACATTAATTTTAAATACATAGTTTAAGTGGCCAAGTATGACCAAAAGTGCACTCTTTCTCCAGGACGGCATCCAGTCACAATGGATGCAGTTGTTCTGGAATGTTCATGTGACACTGGCATACAACCACAGACACGGATAAGAGCAGACATTCACACTCATTACAGTGCATATTACTCAGCCCCAACAACAGGTAGGCCTTAATCCAAAGGTTACTTCATAACATCTCATCACATCTATTCGAAACCACACCTGGAAGAAAAGCAGGCAGCCTCAGGGCGTATTCCTGTCAGCAGGCTCAACAGGGCCCTCCAGGAAACCAAAGTGCCAAGCCCGACCCAGCTACCCCTTCTGGGTATTCTTCACAGCACGGGAATTAATTTTCCATAGTTCTGTTTTCTCAAACTGAGTTGGGGGGGAGGAAGCAACTAACTGGAATACCGATTTCAAGGCTGGCCTGTTAGCTCACTTGGCTAAAGCGTGATGCTAATAACACCGAGGTCAAGGGTTGAATCCCTGTACAGGCCAGCCGGCAACCCCCCGCCCCCCCCCCAAAAAAAAACTATTTCATCTAGCATATAAGCCCCAAGCATGACTAAAATTTCCCCCGTGTTCCCTAAGCCTTGAAAGCACCACATCTTGTCTGCAGCGAGTTTTTCTAAAACTTCTAAAACTTTCGCCTGCAGTGAGTTTCATTAAACACAGAGCAGTAAAGAGATCAGGAAAGGTCGGTCCTCACGATTATCTTCCCAGGCCTCAGCGACGCCCAAAGTGCTGGGAATTTGCCAAACTCCTGAGCGCCGGCCAGGCCCCGCGGGCAGGGAGACCCACAGCAAGTTCAGGGAAGGGGCGACGGAGAGTCGAGTCCGCCGTCGTTGGCACAGACCCCTCGACCTCTCTCCGCCTCCAGATCTCCCGGGTCTCGACGCCCGGCACCCTGCTGCGCAAGCCGGTGTCCTGCGGATCGCGGGGAGCGAGTGTCACCAGTGGCTGGGCGGGCAGGGTAAACCGTGGCCGCTGGTGTGGGGGCGTCACCTGCGGCCAGGGCCATTCGGGGATCACCTGCGGCCCGGGAGACTCGGCCTCGCCCCCATCCCGCGCCGACCGCCTCCTCCGCATAACTTCGTATAGCATACATTATACGAAGTTATACGAGAGGAGGCCCCGGTGTGCGCCAGGTAGGCCGCTGCTCTTTGACCCCAGCCCCAGCTGCCTGGCCGATCCGCGGGCCCCAGGCCGGCCCCCGCCCGCTGGAGGGGCCCGGGTCCGTGCGGGTCCTGGGGGCTTTGAGCGTCCGCCTCCCCGGGGAGGAGAGTGGAACGAAGGCTTGGCCCTCTGGGAGTTGCCGATCAGGAACGACGGTGCGCGGCCCCGCTGGTGCGTTTACTGTGCCTTTGCAGAAACCGAGTTCTGGCCTCTGACCAGAAAAGTGCCAGCTGCTGGGCCATGGGCTTAAGCTGGCCAGTGCAGAACAGAAATTATAAATGAGCAAAGCCTGCCCGAAACCATCACGTGTGTTCCAACCTCCAGCGCTCTAGGACCTGTGAGCGTTAGACCCCAGGGTACTGACAAAGTAGACAAATGAGTATGAAGACCCCGTCTGCCATCTCGGAGCAGTCCGGAGAACAGAAAGGGCAGGAGTGACTGGAGGTGGGGACAATGCTGGCCAGGTTTGAAACACGAGCTCCGTTTTGGAAACCTCCGACTGCTACTGCCTCCTCCACATTTACCCTAAGCTGGGGTTACTCCCCACCGACCCTGCGATGTTTGAGCCGGATAATTCTCGGTTGTGGGGGGCTGTCCTGGCATGATGGAATGTTTAACAGGATCCCTGGCTCCTCTACCCAGCACACGTCAGCAGCAAACCACAACCCCCACCCCAGTTGTTGACTTTTAATTGTATTTTTGGAGTAGTGAGACATAAAGCAATATTCGAGATATCTCTACCTTTGTCCTCTCCAGTGTTTTTCACCCCAATTTTATTAGCTATAGGTTTATCCTTTCTGCGGATCTTTTGCAGAAGTAGGCGACATGTATGTGCATGTGTATACACACACATACATGTATTCCACCTTTCTTACCTAATTCCACCTTTCTTCTCAGAGGGGTAGCATTCTACTACCTATCAATAGTTCTGCAACTTGGTTTTTTTCACTTAACAATAGATTTTGGAGAATCCTCTAATTTGGTACATACAAATCATCCTTATTCTTTTTCGTGCCTGCACAACATTCCTCTGTGTGCCATTTGTATTGTTTGAAATTTTATGTTACAAATAATGCTGCCATAAATAACCTAGTGCAGCATTTCTCCAACTTCAGTGCACCAACAAATCATCCCGGGGTGTTATCAAAATGCAGATTCCAATTCATTAAATCCTGCGAGGAGGCACTTCTAACAAGCTCCCATGTGGCTAATCCACAGACCACACTCTCAGTAGCAAGTACTTAGTGAGAATATTGTTCTGTATGAACGAAGAGGTATCCACTAATCCACATCCCTAGATTACTCAAAAGGGGATTGGCAGGTCAAGTAATAAATACACATAAATTTTTGTTAGTTACTGTCAAATTCCCCTCCAAGGGGATCCTGTCATTTTGTCTTCTCACTGGCTACACCCGAATGGTTCTTTCTCCGGCCTTACTAACAGTGTTATTGTCAAACCTTTGGATTTTTACCAATCTGATAGGTGACAAGGGTAGTCCTAATTAGCATTTCTTTTATTATGAGTTAGGTTGAACATCTTTTCATATGTTTAAGAGCTATTGGCCTCTTTTCTGTCTTTCCTCTTGTGAACTGCTCATGGCTTTTGTTCATTTTTTAAAGATGGGGTTTTTTTCTTGGTTCTTAAAAACTTTTTATATATTAGCAATACTAGTTGTATGTGATATGTCACAAATATTTTCCCGCAGTTTGTCATCTGATTCCTGATGTTGCTTCTGGTGATTTTGGCATACACTTTTCTTATGTACTCAAATTTATTTATTTATTTATTACAGTTTCTAGATTTTTGAGTCATGGTTAGGTCTTTCTCTAGGTCACAATGTTCACCAATGTTTTCTTCCAGTATGTGTATTGTTTCGTTTTTTACTGTTAGATTGCTGATCCCTTTCAGTTTTATTCTGGTGTATGGGAAAAACACATCCAATTTTAATACTTTTTCAAATGGCTTTCCAGTTACTCAAACTGTGCTTAAGAGGCCATATTTTCACTAATGGTTTGACATGCCACCTTTGTAATATAAATAGCTGTATACTTGGATCTATTTACAGACTTTACATTTGGTTCCATTAGTCACGCTCCTAATTACAGAGGTTTTATGATATGGTTTACATCATAGAGCTAGTTCCTCTCCTTACTGTTCTGTTTCAGGTTTTCCTGGCTATCCTTGCTCTTTTTTTCCCTTATAAGCTTGAGAGTCAACTTGTCTAGCTTTAAAAAACCTTGTTGGTAAACTTATTAGAATCATATGGAATTTATGTATTACCTTATTGTGATTTAACATTTATACCTTGATATAGTTCTTCTAGCCAAGAATAATATGCTGGGTCTTTCTATTTATTTAAATTTTTCCTTTTCAGGAGAGTTTTAAAGTTTTCTTCATATAAGATTTGCACATTTCTTGTTTAGTTCATTTCTAGTTATTTTATCTTTTTATTGATATTATATGTAAGCACTTTCCTCCATTATATTTGTCAGCTGGCTTTCATTTCTATATGAGAAAATTAACTTTTGTTTGTTTGTTTGTTTCCCCAACCGGTAAGGGGATCGCAACCCTCGGCACAGTGTGGTCAGCACCATGCTCAGCCAGTGAGCGCACCAGCCATCCCTATATAGGATCCGAACCCGCGGCATCGGCGCTACCAGCGCCGCACTCTCTTGAGTGAGCCACAGGGCCGGCCATAGACAATTAACTGTTTTTATGTATTAACCTTATAACCTGCTTCCTTACTGAATTTTCTTGCTATTTGTATCAGTTTTTTAAATTGATTGTTTTGAGTCCTATAGCTATAGTATATCACCTGCAAATAGTGATGGTAGTACTTCTTATTCCACGTTTCATGTCTCTTAATTGTTTTCTCTTGTTTGATTGCACTGGCTAATACCTCCTGTAGAGTAAATCACCTAACCACTTGTGTTGTTAATACTTACAAAATAAAAGGGTGAGTGCAGGAAGCCAGTGTGGCTTCATGAAAGAGCAGGTCATTCCTAACTAATAGATCTGCAACATCACCAGCTCCAATTTAGACAAGCCCAAGTACAAAATGGCACCACCCACCTCCTCCCCTCCCCTCCCCCCTTCCCTTTAGGAGAAGCCTCCTGACTTAAACAGAAACCCCTTTTGCTTCTTCAAGGACTCAGTTCTCTACCCCGATCCACATTAGCATAATGACCTACCTTGAAGGTATCAGCTAGCCCTTGGTGCACTATATAAGCTCTACCACCCCCACACCTGGTTCTGTCCCCCGTTTTCAGGGCAGCCCTGGACTGTTCCCCAGTTTGAGCACAGCCTGGCAGACTTTTTTCCTTTTATAAAGCTTGAACAGTACCCAGCATCTCGGCTCACTTTCTTTCATTAACCTCATTTGCTTTTTCTAAACATAGGTTTACTTGGCAGGGAGATCTAGGAAGGGGCTCTGCAGTCTGGCATTCTCTACCATCCTGCCTGGATTTTAATTAGGCAGAACTGTTTCCAAATTATGTAGGTTAATAATTCTAGGCTCGGCATCCTCATAGAAAGACTTGTCTGGCATAACTTATTTAATGCATGTTTATTACATTTTTATAACATAATATCCCAACAGGCTTGTAATGAAACAGAGTCAAAACCAAAAGAAAGAGGTTCTTAATAACAAATATGAGTACACAGTTGGAAGACTACTCTGAGCAGAGTATGGAAGACAGATAGATATTCAAGAAAGAATTGCACAAATAAACATAAATTTAATAAGGATTGAGTGACTAACTTCCCCATGGGCTCATGTAAGGCTTTGAAGAGGAGGACATATTTGATCTGGCCCCAAGAACGGGATGAGTTTATGAGGTGGGGAGGACAGTCCAGGTGGAGGGGAGAAGAGAGGAAGATGTTTAGGGAATGACGGCAATTCCAGTGGGCCTGATTGGAGCAGCGGCACATGGAGGGGCAGAGGCTGGAGAGGTAGGTTGGGACCAACTGTGAAGGGCCTTTTTTTCCAGCTAAGGAGCCACAGGAGATTTATCACATGGAATTGGAGGCAGGTGCACACAGAGCTTGGGGTTGAGGATGGATGTGGGCTGAGCAGGGGGCACCAGCTGATTGAAGCAATGCCAGCCTCACGGGGATGGAGGGTGGGGGAAGGAAGTTCCACCGTTACCTCTTCAAGCTGCACTGAGCTCAACTGTGAAAGATGCTTTTGAGCTCAACTCAAAGACAAGAAGCATTTCAAGGATAAGGGGGGATACAGCTGGAAGGAGCTTTGGACATCATCTAGTTGAACTCCCTTATTTTACAGAGGAGGAAATGAGGCCTAGAAAGAGAGAGGAGAATCACTTTACTGAGAATGAGGAGCAATGATTAGGCTTCCACTCATGTGGTCTCTTGGTGGTTGGTCCACTGCCTCTTTTAATTAATTGACTAATTAATTCATCAAACAGTTACTGAATACCCGCCATGCATCCTGCACATTTGAGTATGAGCTTATGCAGAGTTAGGAATTTCCGAATGATTGGAGTAGGTCCTAGGCTGGAGGGAAACTTTTTTTAATGCTCTAGGCTTGAATGTCCCATTTTCAGGGTTTTTACACTGTGTGAACCACCAGCACCTCAAAACTCAACATCCCCCAGTCAAACTCATGATCTTGACCCTC